ATAATATTCTAAGATAATTAATAAATAATAAATAATAAAATAATAAACTAATAATAAATTCGTTCTATAACAATATGTTTATTTTAGATCTATTATTATACTTTTAAAGCTTTTTTCTATTTGGCACAAATTATTTGGACTGGCACATATTCAAGAATTGCTAGCTTTGTGTTAGCATGCATGCCACTTTATTTTAACAATCAATCACGATACTAATTTAGTTAGAAGCTCAATTATGCCAAAAAAAGAAAGTCATAAATTGATTCAGTATACAAGTAATACTATGACCCACTAGATATGAGACCTTTTTTGTGATCCCGATATTGGTCTTGCTCAGAATTACTAAGCTAAAATAGTTAATTAATAAAATCTATAGTTGCATTCAATCTCTGAACACGAAAAATTAATATTAACAAAATAGAAGAAGCTATATTAAAGGCTGTGCAATTAACTATGAGAATCTTTAATGAATTTCAAACAATATTCGAATTCACACTAAAAAAAAATCAGACCAACAATTTGTATGATAATAAGGAAAAATTAGAGTTATACTTCCCTTTTTCAAGCCCAAGCCGCAATTACAATGAATTTTCTTGAGATTTATATGATAAATAAAGTATAATAAAAATCGTGAAATTATAAAAGAAAAAAAATCAAATTAATAAAAATTATCTCTTTATTGGGTTTCAAATAACTCGAATAATAGATTCTATTTTACTTTGAAATATCTATTTAATAAAGCCGTTTCTTGTGTGTTTTTAAAGTCAAATTGTTGTCTAGAGTTGCCTTATATAAATAACCAGTTTTTTTTGTTTTATTAATTCAAAAAGATGGATGTTCAGGATTTTCTCTATGATTATTCTCAGGATTCTTCTTATAATTATTTTCAAGGTTATTCTTATTATTCTCAAGAGGATTCTCAAAAGGATTCTAGTTTGAATTATTTTAAAAAATGAAGTCATGATAATGGAAATGATTATTCTACTGTCACTTTTAAACCTGTGCCTAAAAAAAAAATAAAACTAAGTGTAAAAGAAGTTTTGTATAGAAGTATTTTAGATTAATTAATATAGAAGCTGTGTGTCAAGTTGTTGTAAATAAAAAGAGAAAAGAAAAAAAGTATAAAGCGAACTATACTCATGATGGGTCAACATCTAACATGATTGCTCATATATGTTCAGCTCATAGCATTGTAGATAATAGTAAATTAAAAGCTAAAATTCAAAAATCGCAGCAAACCAAATTACCTGAAATAATTAATATTAAGACTTCATATAAAAATATCAAGTAATCAGAAAATAGCAAAACAGTTATAGAATGGATTGTTTTTGATAGTCAACTATTAAATGCATTACGAAAAAAAGGATTTTATCGAATGATGGCAGTAATTGACCCAAAGTTTTGTCATCCATTTAATTGTTTAATAAAAAATGAATTAGTATTAAGTTATCAAAAAAACATCAGTATTCTTCAAGATGAAATTGGATCTTCCTGTAAAACCGCTACAATAACAGCTGATTTATGGACATCACGAAATAAGGAAGATTATATAGGAATCACTTGTCACTGAATAACTCTCAATTGGAACCTGCATAGTATAACAATTTGCTGCGAAAAAATGCCATATCCCCACATAGTGATTCCATTTATCAATTTATCATCAATAAATATATTTAATTTAACCTTAAGGAAAAAATTATATATGCTGTTACCAACAATGGGGCCAACATGGTAAAAGCAATTCAAAATTGGAATTCTGTTGAACAAATTTCATGTGTGGCACATACTTTACAATTGATAGTCAATTTTGCCTTACAAAAAGTCCATTCATATGTAAAAAAAAAAATAAAAAAACTTGTTAAATTTTTTGATTCTCCAAAACAAAATAAAAAACTAAAAAAAGCCCAAATAACCATAGCAGAAAGAAATCATTTACCTATTTCTAAATCAGTTGATACTGAAATATATAGTGAAGGTGAAGAACCTAGTAAAGTTGATAATAGAAATTCAATAGAACAACCAAGTATAAATTTGGCTTCTCATACTCTTTGAATAGTTAAAGATTGTCCTACTCATTGGAATTCGAAATATTGATCATGAAAAAAATAATAAAATTAAAGGATACAATCGTATGGTTAGAAGCTAATCTAAATATTTCATGAAATCTAGATGAAAAGAAAGAAGGTCAAAAACTTAAACATTGTTTATCTAGTGAATATGAATAGAAACTGGTCAAAGAGTTAACTAAAATTTTTGAGCCATTTAACCAGGCAACTGAAGCATTTAGTGCTGAAAGATACCCAACTCTGTCTATTATGTATCTAGTTGTTAAAGTTTTAAAATCAGAATTTAATTTTGGAATTGAACCAGATATTGATGAATGTGGTATTATTCAAGTTTATATATTATTTAGTTAGAATAAAGAGCTAAATTAATTCTAGTGCTATGTATTATTATTTAAACAATAGTCTTATCTAATATATATATATATATATATATATTTACTAATAATTTATTTTTTTTGGAACCTGATATAAGTTATTATAGTGAAAGCGATGATAATAGTGAAAGTAAAAGTGATGATACCAGTACTCCGCTACCAAGAACTCCCCCTATTCAATTTGTAATTTTACAGGTTAAACAAAAAATTTATAATTCTCTTTAGAAATATTGGAAAAATCTAAACAATGCAAGTCTTATAGCGACATTACTGGACTCAAGACTTAAGAAAATACATCTCTGGCCTAACTATATAAAAGAAAAAACTATCAAATTATGTCGTGAAGAACTTGATACTATTGTCAATAATGAACCTTTAACTACTACAACTTCTCCAGCAACCACTTCATTAACCAATCGATATTTTGCTTCAATTTTTCAAGATGATCATGATAACAATGATTTGACTGAAAATAAATTAGATAAATACATAGATATTCAAAGAGCCTCTGTTGCCCACAAGATAAATTGCCTCTAGAATGGTGGAAAGAGTGTAAGAAAGATTTTCCAGGTTTAAGTCAATTGGCAAAAAAATATTTAGCCATACCAGCTATCTCAGTACTAACTGAGCACTTATTCTCCAATACTAGAAATCAAGTAACTCCAAAACGGGCTTGTCTTGGTTCTGAAACTGTTTCTCAAATTTTATTTTTAAAAAGAAATAGTTATTTGGAATCTTTGCTAGAAAAATCACTCTTCGAGATTTTCCGATCAGGCAAATTTGAACAAACTTAGACCAGAATACCAGTTCTTATTTATATGTAATTCAGCTTTTACATTATTGATTCCATAGTTTATTTAATATATTATAGAATTAATAAAGTAAAGACTAATTTACATATAAATTAGAACCAATATTCTGGTCTAAGTTTGTCTGAATTTGCCTAATTGGAAAATCTCAAAGGGTGATTTTCCTAGCAAAGATCTCATTTAATTAACATTATATAAATTGAAATTTTATATTATTGATATTAAAGTTAAATATATAAAATTTATATTATCAATATTAAAGTAAAATTTATTTGAATAAAGGTTTAAATAAGTTAAGATGAAAATAAAATTATACTTATTTTCTTAAGTGGCAAAAGCTTACTCAATACAAGCATTGAGTTCAAAAGTTTATATTATTAAAATTAGTAATCAGCCTTATATGTATATGAATTAAACTTTGTAGCTATCATCATTAAGACCTCATGATTAATTTCTTTGTAATTTTCCACAAAGTACTAGTAATAAAACTGGATAACCCAGAATTGAATATTTATCCAGATAAATTTGGGTAATCCGGTTTTGGTATGTCATTTGTAAACGGGCAGATAATCTGGTATTAAATTTTACAATAGATACAACCTCTAACTTAGACACTACACTTTTTTCATTAATTATGTATTTTTTTAATAAATTTTTAATACAATCGCTTAAATTAAAAATTTTATAGCATTATTTAGATTTTTTTTTTTAACTCTCTAAGTTTTTCATCTGTTATTGATTAAATTTATTTGAAAAATATGCATAGTAATTTCAAGTAGTAGAGATTTTAAATTAATAAAGTGCAGTGTTTACTTGCTATAAATTTGCCAAAGAATTAAAATTTTATTGTTATTATTAGTATTATATAATGAAGTATAGTGTCTTGATAAAATTATTTCTCAGTATCCCTTAAACTGTCCATTTTAGCAGACAAATATGTCTGTTAAATTTTTAAGAAGTTCTGATTTATTTTTATCAAAAATTAAGTTATTTTAAAATTTTTTTTTTTTTAAATATCAACTATGATTATAGATTATATTTTAATAATTTTAATTTTTATATTTTATAAAAAAAAATT